GACACGGACCGTGTTGCCATTCAACACGGCCGTGTTACGTTTCGAGAAAACTTCCTATTTTTGCATCCGAACTTCCGTTTTCTGAATGGAAAGAAGCCCAGCCGCCAAAGAAATAAATAGAGGACGTCTTGAGCTTCAGAAAATCATCGAGAAATCATAGGAGAAGCCAGAGAACTCGAGAGAGAATCAAGACGGAGTTTCCTGGGGGCAGAGATTGAAGAATCGTCGTCGAGAGATCGCTGCGAGTCTTCTTTATCTGTTTCTATGTTTCTTCTTATTGATTTGAACTCGTTTGTTGTGATGGGTAGTGAGTAGTCGTTTCACTGTAGCTAGGGATTTAACCTTGTAGGGATTTGTTTGGTTTTTATTTTCCGAGACTACATTATCGATACTCGGCGGTTTAATTGAATTGAGTTTATTGCTTTTGATCTTCTTGGCCAGTTGATTGATTGATTTTAGATTCTGATTTGCAACGAGAGTTGAGATTAGATTCGGAACGAATTCATTGAATAAATTGATTAAGACTATTGCGAGATAGGTTAATCGGTTTAGGAACTGTGATGGTGATCGTTAATGCATTTGATATTTTAATCTATTAGGTCGAGATCGATAGGTTAAATTATTGGATAGTGGATTTAGGACTTGAGAGAGCCAAATCTGATATTAGGACTTGAGATCCCCGATTAGAGTTCGATATTTGTAGATTCTCCATCCTTAGAAACAATCCCTGCGCGTTAAGGTTATCTCGAAGCTACGGTGGTTTAGTTATCTGATTTAATTAGTTTATTTATTGCTTTATTTTCGATATTCATCTATTTTATCTGCTATTTGCTGATCTGAATCTTAGTCGAGTTTTGTTCTTAGTGTTAACTATTCCCTGTGTTCGACCCTGGTACTATAGTTGATCTGTATTCTTGCGGTATTCGCTGTATCTAGGTTTTTATCACTTGAGCATTATTTCTATACCTAGATTTGCGTTATCAGTGAGTCACACTGGATCACCGTCAAGAACATCCTAAAGTAATTGAGAAGGACTAAGGATGTGTTCTTGGTATACGGTGGGTCGGAAGACGAGCTCGCTGTAAAGGGTTACACCGATGCTAGTTTCCAGTCAGACCCGGATGACTACAGATCGCAGTCTGGCTATGTTTTCTGCTTGAACGGAGGCACTGTTAGCTGGAAGAGTTCCAAACTGAGTATATTGCAGCGTCGGACGCAACATTATAAAACCATAGAAAGTATCAATACATCAAATGTATCTAAATAAAGCTCATAAACAGTACATCATAGAGCACTAAACCAACAGTGACAACAATGGAGCGATCGCACAAGCGAAAGAACCCAGATCCCATCAACGATCCAAACACATACTCATACGATTTCACCTTATCAGGGAGATCATGGACAGAGGAGACGTGCATATTTGCAGAGTGTCGACAGATGACAACATTGCCGATCCATTGACGAAGCCTCTCCCTTCGTCGAAGCATGAGGGTCATGTTA